ATCTTAGCAAAGTGTTAGCTCTCTCTGTCTCTTGGATTGAAGAGGTTCAGTGCAGAGATCTCAGGTCCACAGAGCATGCTCCATTCCTGGCTCTTCTTTCTTGATGATAGTGAGATCCCCTTTTACTGCCTCTCTGAAAACAAAAACCCCCATTGGGTTTCCAAGGCTGTAAGTCTTATACAGAGCAGACCGTCTCATTTTTACTCTGTGGAGCAGCTGGTGGGTTCTAACCATTGACCTTTTTTGGTTATCAGTCAAATGTCTTAACTATCACCAGAGCTCCTTTTTCTGTCTCTAGGATGGCTCATTTGAAGCCTAGCGGCATGGCAAAACTGACCAATCCCCATGTTAATGTTCCATATACCTTTTTTGCATGATGCCATGCATCTTATTTACATTATTAGCAAGCTATCCAATCCCCTTGTGGGCCACAAACACCTTACATTTGCATAGTCTTACCCAGTCATCTGATGGGTGTCACAAAGACTCTGGCTAGAAGGGCCATACCAAGCAATGCACTGCATTGCACCTGTCCAAACAACTTTCTGCTCTTGGTTCTAGTAACTTCATCCCCTCATACTTTCAGGTTGAAGGTGGTAATGGTTTCTGTTGTTGCAAGCTGGAGTATATTGCACTATTCTTTGTCAGCTTCCCTACACACTGCCCACACTTGTGTAAATCATTGTTATTAAACTCTCCTCAATCTCTGCCTGCTATGAACCTGCCTGCAACAGTACCTAACTGGCATTCAAGAGAAATTTCTGCTCAGAGGAAACAGGCATGGTAGACATTTATTGTTTTTGTACCACCCTATCCCATCTCATAGGAGCTCTGGTAGCATAGTGGCTAAAACACTTGCCTGCTAACCAGATGGCTGGCAGTTCAAACCCACCAGCCACTCCTCGGAAGGAAGGTTGGGCAATCCTACTTCCATAGTGATACTGCCTCGGAAACCCAAGGAGTGGTCGCTATGAGTCGGATTTGACTCGATGGCACATAACAACAACAACAGCATCCCATCTCATCCTCTCCAAGTAATAGTGCCCATTGTTCCTTTGAGATCCACCCCTTCCCCTCTCCATCCATGAGTTAGTTTTAGATCAGAGTTAAGCCTATCGTCCTTCACCCTAATGGGGACATGTGACTCAGTGCTTGTCAATCAAAATATGACAGCCCTCTCTGGTCAGGGATCGGTCCAGAGGTGGGCACGTGGCCCAATCAAGAGCCAAGGAGGCTCATTTCATGGATTTTTTGGGTTGTGTGAAAGTAGCTTTTTCTCTGGGGTTTCTGAGAGGATCAAATGAAGTCTAGAGCTGGAGTGGCTATTTGTACCATAACAGGGGGAGCCTGTCTGGGAAAGAAGCTGACAAAGAACAGTGCAGAGCTGAGGAGCAAGGGAGAAAGGGTAAGAAGGGGAGGGGGGAGGGAGAGGGAAAAGAAGGTATGGGAAAGGAAGGAAACTGAGAGACTGTGTCCAGAGGCAGCATTTGAGCATTTGAGCCCCTGGATCCAGCCATACCTGAAGAATTTATTGACTCATATAACTAAAGGTTCTGACCCACAGAAACTGAGGGAGTTAATAATGTTCATGCTTGTTTTAAGTCTCTAGGCTTTAGGGTAATTTGTTATGTGGGAATAGACAACTAATACAAGGAGGAAGCTTGGCAATGAGAGAAGACTAAAGCTAGAGAGGACCTTCCTCTGGCCTGATAAGCAACAAAGTAGCTACCACACGCCTACTCACAGAGCTTCCCAGTCACATCAGCATTTGTTATACATTCTGCCATATTCTCACAGAACAACATACGATTAAAACTTTATTTCAATTTTGTCATCTATAAACCTACTCTGTTCAGAAATCATTTGTTCATTTAGTGGGTAATGTATTTGAGCAGGTCTTTCATTGAGAATCTGATTGGCTGAGTCACCATTGCCCCACTCTGGGTGGAGCTTCTGTGTGGCTGGACTTGGGTCAAGTGCCTACTCCTGGCCCAATGCTCTATGGCCGAGGTTGGGGCCACGAGGTACTGAGCAGAATCAGCTGTGCTAAGGGGTAGCCTAGATGGGCTTCCTTCAGCGGGAGCTGTGGGCAGGCCCTTCCCCCAGGAATGAGCATGGCAGGTGCATAGACTGTGAGGTGCATAGTCTGTGAGGGCGGCATGGCTTTGCTTTCTCTGGGAACAGGCTTGTTCAAGTCCAGTGTGAGCACAGCTCATTGTGTCTCTCACTTCCTTTATGTGGAAAACCACAGAAAGGCACAGCTGTGCCTACGATATAAACCACAAGGACCAAGCGGCTTCCCCCAAGTCTGATTCAACCAAAGCACATTTGATTTCCTGTCTCTGTGTTATGGTTAAGCTTGCCATTGGCTTCCTGAATTTTAGGATACAGTTGACAAAAACTTATCAAGACGTTTAGTCATAGGCATATATTTTTTCCTGAAAATGATTTGTTACTCACTTTCCCCTGTACTCCACTTTATCCTGCCACCTGGTAGTTGTGTTTTTTATTATAAAAATCACTTTGTTCCACCATCATTATTTATTTTCCCTTTCCCCTCATTTCTACTTTATAAACAATTATTCCTAAATTGTACGTAGACAGCAGCTCAGAGAACGTTCTGGGTGCTCTGCTCAGAAAGGCAGAATGTGCATCCAGTAGGTACTAAATAAGTATTTATTGAGTGAAATAGTTCCAGCAAGTCTGTAACTACTCTGTCTCTCTCTTTCTCAGGCTGATTTTAATCATCCTGGCAGGAAGCAACGATATGCATTTTTAAAATAATTTCTGTTTCCCTGGGGTTTGGGTCAGGGAAGCAAAGTGGGTGGACGACACCACATCCGGAACCACGTCCAGCCCTGCCAGCTCACTCCTCCCGACCGCTCTGCGTCAGTGAGGGCGGTGAGCACTGTCATCTGGGTGGGGAAAGGCCCGCTCCCACTCCAGGAGGACTTCCCAGGGTGTGGGGTTTCTTGGGGCCTCCGCAGGGATTCTGAGCTGTTCCTGCTAATTCCTGAAGCCTTGATTCCTTCCAGGCCTTTTCGACGGAGCAGTTAGTCAGCAGGAGGTAGGGCCGCCTTTGCTGCTTTCCCCCGTGAATTCTTCAGAACCGTTCCCCAAATGAGAAATCTGGGCGCAACAAAGTTTGAATACATTGTCCAAGGTCTACCCAGTGAAGAGTAAACAGTCAGGCCAAAAATGTAAACCCAGTCCATCTGCTCTAGAACCTATGTTTTCATTATCCTGCCTATAAGCCAGAAAAAGGAACTGGAAGACAACACTGAGGGAGGAAAAATGTCATGTTTTACTTTATACAATTCTGTATGTAAATGTAGCAGCTTAAAAAAAAAATCAATTCAAAAACAAGATAAAACTAAAAAGCCACAACAATTAAGAGGCAAATCACAGAAGAACAAGTATCTATTGTCCATTTAAAGTTATCTGAAACATTTACTAGGCATGGAGTCAAAATCCCTTTTCAAATGACTGAAAATGTGGATACAAATAACACAAAAACCAGTGGTCTGAAAACGTCTTCAGAACCACACTGAACATGAAGTTTCTGCAACTTTTCTTCCACTGATGATTCTGCATCTGGAACTAATACTGTAGAAGGCCCCTGCTCTGCACCTGGTGGGTGCCCATGAACACCTGCTGAGCAATTTATAAATGGACGAATGAAGCATGCCAGCCACCACAGGAATTCTTGCAATTTATATGGGGCACTACACCTCTCTACAGGAGCTCTGGTAGCTTAGTGCCTAAGGCACCTGACTGCTAACTAGATGGCTGGCAGTTCAAACCCACCAGCCACTACTCTGAAGGAAGATGGGGCAATCTACTTCCGTAGTGATACTGCCTCAGAAACCCAAGGAGGGGTCGCTATGAGTCAGGTCCAACTCGATGGCATGTAACAACAACAACAACAACAACAACAATAACAAACACCTTTCTGCAAAAGAGAGACCTGCACGGTTTGGCAATGATAATGCTCTTGCTCATAAACCCCAAACCAAACCCACTACTGTGGATTCTGACTCATGGTGACCCTACAAGACAGAGTAGAAGTGCCCCACAAGGTTACCAAGGCTGTAATATTTACAGAAGTGGACTGCCTCATCTCTCTCCCATGGAGTGGCTCTTGGGTCAAAGCTAGCTAATGTCCTGGATCTCTGGGTGAGACCTGCTGTGCAGAAAGAATTCTACTAGTCATTCCTTCCTATCGTTCCCCTCTCTCCAACACCTTTCCAGTCCTTGCCCTCTCTGCAGCACTGCACTCCCCTGAGTCCTGCCTGACAAATGCCATTTACTGATAGGAAGGCAGTTGTGTGAAACACTTCTCTTCCATTTTTAAAAGCTGTTTCTTTTTCTTTGTTTTTTTTTAACTTTTATTGTGGTGAAAACATATACACCAAGACATTCGCCAACATATCAACTTCCCCATTTACAGCTCAGGGACATTGATGACATTTTTCATGTTCTGCCACTGTTATTGCCATCCTTTTCCAAAATATTCCACACCCATTACCATAAACTCAATGCCCCACAAACAAAAGCTTCCCCTTGCCCCTCTCCCTCTTACCCCTGGTAACTGCTAATCATCTTGGTTTCTATTTTTTTTTTTTTTCCTTCACAGTCCACATTTCTGCTGCTGTTGATGGCTCTGGTGCTACCACTTCATCTGAACAGAGTTTTAATCGATAATGGGAAAGTCCCCACGTCAGGCATTTCTAATACAGTTTTGGCTTTGAAAGTTTGGTTATTACCTTAGAAAATGTTTGAGGCATGTGATGTGAAATACTTGTCTTTCCTGTGTGTCACCTGATCAACAAAAACAAGAAAACAAACAAAAAAAAACAAACAAAACACTGCTTTGTAGATGTGTAAAATAGAAACGGACATTTATTTTTGTCTAAGCTCTTAAAAACCAAGTGCGTACTGAGATTTGTGGAGGAAGGTGTGGCTTGAAAAAGACAAATGTGAGTAGAAAGTAACAGAACATGTCTCAGTAATTCACACTTAAGAGCAGATGCCGAGGGAATCTGCATCTCCTACTTCTTCCCAGAGTTCCCGGGTGGGATCTGGTGCCACAGACGTGGTTCCTGCCCTTAGGGCAGAGAGGTGGTCACCATACTTGGGACCTGTGGTCTGCCCACGTGGCAGCCAGCACTCACCCCACACACTTCCTCTAGTCCCTCTCATACAATCGCCCGTAGAGAGCTGCTGTCATCAAGCCCGAGGACAGCCCATTTTTCCTCATGAAATAGTGGTCATTCTCCCAACCCATCTGGTCAGGGATTTCCAGGGTCATCCCTGAGGTCAGAAACAGAGGGAAGATATAGGAAGTAGTGAAATTTCCCCAGAGGTGAAACTCAAATATCCCCGTGGCCTCTGTGACCTCCTGCCCACAGGTGTCAAGGCCAAGCCCCCCACACTTGACCAGGGCACAAACTTGAAGGTAGTAAGTGCCATGCACTGTGTGAAGGCCATTGAAGATGCCCAGGGCATACAGCTCTGGGGACAGGTCGGACCGCTGGTATAGTAAGTAACAGCAGAGGCCATCTGCACAGACGCGGAGATGGCCTTCCTTTCCCCATACAGGGACCAGGGTGAAATTGTCATACATCATTTCAGAGTGAAACGTGGGAGGAGCATTCATATTCCACTTGGCGGATCCCTCACAATGGACTTCTTGAGCATCCTTCTCACAGTATGGGTCGCCTGCTAGTATTTTTAAAAACTTAGTATGGGATGGGGTCATTTTACCTGTTGCATTCTCTGTACCAGTGTGACCCAGTGGATTTTTGGGCACCTGGGCAACTAGAAGGTAACCTCCAGGGTTTTCTGTGTCGTGGTACCAAAAAGATTGCAGAGGAGTGTGTATGCCACTCCCTGTCATCCCCAGAGATGGATGGTGAATGTTAGCTGCCAGAACATTGACGCCAAGGGCGATGGCAAAGCCATGCTGAATCTGAATAGCTGCCAAGAGTGGGAGCTGGTTCATCCAGGCAGTTGGGTACACAACGTGCTTCACCTCAGAGTCTCTGAGGAGGCTGATGGCAGGGTTAAAGAACAATATGTCAAAGCAAGTGAAGATGCCAAACTTGCCAGCAAAAGGGGTATCAAAGGTGATGTAATCCACATTGGCAGGGGTATCAAAAGCTGCCTCAAAATACAGGTTGTGTTTGCGGTAGCGGTCAACGAGGGTTCCATTATTGCTGAACACAACATTCGTGTTAAACTGGTATCTCCCATCGTTGGGGCACCCTGGGTCACTGCTATGACAAGGCTGCTTTGTCCCGAGATTGGCTACCAGGAACATCTGTCCCCTGATGGCCATACAACTCAGGCGCTGGAGGACCTACAGAAAAAGAGGTACAGATAAACAGATCTTTAAAATCCTGCCTTTTCTCTTATGTTTCCTTATGGAAGAGTACCTGTATTATGCCTGTAATAGATCTAAAAACCAAAAACCAAACTCACTTCCATTGAGTCGATTCTGACTTATAGTGACCCTCATTGAGTTTCTGATGCTGTAAATCTTTACTGAAGTAAACTGCCCCATCATCTTCCTTCTGCAGAGAAGTTGGTGGGTTTGAACTGCTGACCTTCTGGTTAGCAGCCAAATGCCTTACCCACTACACCACCAGAGCTCTTTCCATAATATATAGTCACCTATTATAAACCAATAAGAGAAAGGCAGCCGCTACTGAAAATACACAAAGGATATGATTCAAAGAAGAATAAAAACAAATGGCCAACAAACATCTGAAAAGATGCTCAATCTCAATGTTGTTGTTATGTGCCATCGAGTCAGACCTGACTCATAGCGACTCCTCCTTGGGTTTCCAAGGCAGTATCTCTACGGAAGTAGATTGCCCAACCTTCCTTCCAAGAAGTGGCTGGTGGGTTTGAACCACCAGCCTTCTGGTTAGCGGTCAAGTGCCTTAGGCACTATGCTGCCAGAGCTCCCCAATCTCATTAGTGATAGGGAAATGAAAATTAGAATAATGAAATATCATTTTTTACCTCCATCAGATTGGCAAAAGTTCAGAAGATTGATTCCATGTTGTACTGGCAGCATAGGCAATGGTTAAGCCCTCAGCTACTAATCAAAACCAAAAGGTCAGTGGTTCAAACCCACCAGCCACTCCATGGGAGAAAAGACCTAGTGATCTGCTCCTGTAAAGACTACATTCTAAAAAATCCTATGGGGCAGTGTACCCTGTCCTATAGGGTCACTGAGTCAGAAGCAGCACAATAGCATACAACAACAACATAAAATGAATACCAAAATCCTTTGAAGGGGAAACCTGGCACACTTCAAAATAACTTAAAATCTATGTATCATTTGACTGAGAAACTCCATTTCTTGGAATTTTATCTCACAGAAAACTTGGACATGTTTATAACAAATATGTGTATAATTAGGACATTCATTGAAACATTAAACCAAAAAAACCAGACTCATTGAAGGTGGATCTGACTCATAGCGACTCCTCCTTGGGTTTCCCAGGCAGTATCACTATGGAAGTAGATTGCCCAGCCTCCCTTCTGAGGAGTGGCTGGTGAGTTTGAACCTCCAGCCTTCTGGTTAGCAGTCAACTGCCTTAGGCACTATGCCACCAGAACATTGTTCATCATAAAAAAAACAAACCAAAATCACTGCTATCGAGTCGATTCCAACTCATAGTGACCCCTCCTTGGGTTTCTGAGGTGCTATCTCTATGGAAGTAGATTGCCCAGTCTTCCTTCTGAGGAGTGGCTGGTGAGTTTGAACCGCCAGCCTTGCTCATCATTTGCTGTTGTTGTTATGTGCCATCGAGTGGGACCTGACTCATAGCGGCCCCTCCTTGGGTTTCTGAGGTGGTATCACTACAGAAATAGATTGCCCAACTTTCCTTTTGAGGAGTGGCTGGTGGGTTTGAACCACCCGCCTTCTGGTTAGCAGTCAAGTGCTTTAAGCACTACACTACCAGAGCAACATTTAAAACGTAATTTAAAATGTTAATATAAAGCATGCTTAAGAAAAAGGATGCCAATAACTATGAAATGCAGAGCAAAGCGTATCATTGGATATACACGAAATTGTTGATGGGATTTTCCTCTATGAAGGGAAGGCAGGTGAGGGAGGTGGGCTCTCACCTTTTTACTTCTGTATGGTTTTTTTATAAACATGTATTCATGTATTTTTTATGTGTAATTAGTAAATAGATTCATAGATGAGTAAATGCCTTGTAATACCATTCTTTAACCGAAGGAACACATGGCACATAGAGTTTAGGTTTGATTTCTATGATGCTAGGGTCTCCCGTCAGTCTCAGATAACACTGTCTTGGCTTTTGGTCCCTGGCAGAATTAATCTGCATGTGCCCTCTGTTTACTGAGAAGGCAGGCTGGAATCCTCACATACCTCTGTGTCATTGAACCGGTGAGGCTCCAGGCATGGGTTCCATCTCACCATATGGGGAGAGGGCATGAAGTCCAAAAATGGGTAAATGGATGTTCTTGTAAAGTTGAATCCATGAATGCCATCTTCTGGAAAAACTATAATCTGTACACCCTGTAAGTCAAAACATCAAAGAATAGTTTGTTAGACGATGGGAAGCGCCACTTCATTCCTTTGTTCCTTCTTTCTTTCATTCATTAGACAACCATTGGGCAGTTGTTACTCTGAGTCAGTGATCAGAGGTACAAAGATGGTGGCTGGACTCTCATCATGGGTCTTAATCCCATGGAAGATGTCCCTCGTGGACTAATTCTGAGGGAATAGGACAAAATCCTCTAGCAACACCCACTGTGTCTGGGGGCATGTCGAGGAAGGAGGAATATGTGAGCTTGTTTGGAAGAAGTTTGCCAAGCACACAGTTAAGAAGGGTTTGGAGTTCTTAGCGTCAATGGGAGATGAAGTCAATTATAAACGGCCTGAATATTAAGCCCATTAATAGACTGGTATTTCCTGTCACTGTATATCAGAATTAGATGGGGAACTTCTAAAAAAATGGTGATGTTTTGTTCCCACCCCTAAAAAGTCTGATTCAATTGATTATGGGAGGGATCCTGGCAACAGTATTTGTTTAAAGGTCCCTAGATGATTCTAATGTGCAGCCAAGGTTGGGACCCACTGCCTTGTCGTTAATAGTCAAGTGTGTTGACTTCAGCATGGAAACAAGGACTCACTCTAAATCAAAATTCCCCAACTGGGAATTCAGAGATTCCCTTCAGAATCCTGACCACCCTAAAGGCCTTTTCCCATCCCTCAGGGACACTCTGGGCTCCCTGACTGGGATGTCCTGGGGCTCTGCATGACGTCTGCAGCAAGCTAAGGAAATCCAAACAAACAGGGCAGCCCTCAGCCTCAGTGCCAGGGCCTCGTTCTGCTGGTGCTCTCCACTTACAGGGCATCAAATGCCACGCCCGGAACACTGGCCCCACTGGAAACTAAGGAAGAAGGCAGAGAGGCATGGACAATCTAAAATAGCAGGCAGTTTGAGTCATTTCATTCTGGAATGTATTGCAAACTCTGTAATTTTTTTTTCCCCTCTGGTTATAAAGGTTTCAAAAGTTTAATTGTGGAAAATATGGAAAACAGAAAATATAAAGGAAAAATTCATAATCCTATAACATGAAGGTATTTATTATTATTTTGGTTATTTTTATTATTTTCCCTCTCTAAATACATATTTATATATCTATACACATTTATATAAAACCAAACTCGCTGCTATTGAGTTGACTCTGACTCACAGAGACACCTATTGGATTTCCAAGGCTGTAAATCTTTACGGAAGCAGACGGCCTCATCTTTCTTCTTCAGAGTGGCTGGTGGCTTGGAACAACCACTCTTTTGGTTAGCAGTCAAATGCCTTAACCACTACATCACCAGAACTCCTTACACATTTATACACACACACACACACAGACATTTGTGTTGTCCAATAAAAAATTAATTTACACTTTGATAGGAAGCCAGCTTTATTCAGAAAGAAAACGGGGGACAGGGACTATTACAATCAGGGGAGGGGCCTATTGTAATAGCGAAAACATACTGACCACAAGATCAGCAAGCATTTCAGAGTTAAAAAGTCTTTTTCTTTTACGAAGATTGAGAGTAAACAAGGCTGGAAAAAACCTCAGTGTGGGAAAGTGGAATGGGTAGGTGACCTTACCAGATACTAAATCAGAATTTTTATGAGGAGGCCAGCCTGTTCTGGAGGGGACCTTAGAGAGGGGTATATTGGCCCAGGCTGAGGATGGGCCAAAGTTCAGGAATTTGAGAGAAAGAGAGAAACTTAACCAACGAAGCATTTCATCTCTGACTGATTCATGGTGACAAAACAGTTAATTTGGAGGGTCTGTGTCTGGCCCTGTCACAGATAAACAAAGGGGTATCCGTGAGTCTTCTATAAGTCATGGGACGAGTGGTTATTCGCAGTAAGTTGTTTCCCTGAACACAAACGGTGGGGGATTTTTTTAACCACTGCTGTTTTCTGGTATCACCAGGGTTCGGGTAAAATGTAGCCTTATCATATAATGTAAGAGAATAATAAATACATGGTTTTGTATCTTAAATTTTTCACTACAGAGGACATCAAGAACCTTCACAAATATGACTTGTAATGGCTACATTATGTTTAAGAAGAGGATGCACCAGAGTTTATCTCTTATCATTAGACATTTGAGTTGTTCCCAATTTTTTTTGTAATAAAAACAACACTGACCATCTGCACACAGAAAGCTCAGAACATTTATTGACTGTGTTGTGCACAAATCTTTCACTGAATTTCTAATTATTTCTTTAGAATCAAGTCTTAAAAGTAGAAATACTGGGCCAAGGTATGAGATTTTTTAAAATTCTTAACACACATTAAGGGGGTCTGGTGGCGTAGTGCGTAAGGCATTTATTTGACTGCTACCCAGAAGGTTGTGGTTCAATCCCACCAGCCACTCTGTGGAAAGAACACTTGGCAATCTACTTCCATAAAGATTTACCACCTCAGAAACCCAATGGGGGTCACTATGAGTTGGAATTGACTCAATGGCAGTGGGTTTTGTTTCAACACACATTGCCAAGTAGCATTCCAGAAGATTACACAAGTGTCCACTCCTTCCAGCACAGTGTGAGACTGGTCAGCGCACTGCACACTTAGCAATGAATGCGTACAGAAAAATTATTGAAAGCCTGGGAAAAAACCAAGAAGGTAAATACATGCCCTTTCAAAATCATACTGTAGTCTTATTTAATGGGCTCATGTGAGAATTACTGAATTATCTAGAGAATGAAATGACTTTGTTGTTCAATAAAACATCATCCCAAAGATTACAATATATTGCCCTGCAGGACATTAACTAGTTTTACATCTACTGGTAAATTCATTTCCACATTCATTTGATTAACATACACATTTCCATTCCTCAAATTCTTTTTTTGATCCAACTCGATTGTCTTACTGGCTCCCTCATAAGTAGTGAGTTGAGTAAAAGCTTCACTATGCATTCATTCTATATTTATAGGAGTAATTGTTTTAACTTTTCAAAAATAACACTTGGGAGACCAGAAGAACTAGATGGTGCCCGGCTACCACTGTCATCCATTTGGAAGGGGATCTATGTAGGAGATCCTGGATAGAGAGGGAGAACAATGTGGAACAAAACTCAAAATCATTTGGAGGAAAAAAAAAAAGGGGGGGGGGAACCAGGTCTGCTGGTCTGATAGAGCCTGGTAGAACCACTGAGACTATGGACCCTAGCTGCCCTTCAGATCTGGAATTGAACCCACACCTGTGGTTTCCAGCCAAACAGAAGACAGGCATATGAGTTGAACATTTACCTCAAGTAGATACACTCCCTGGAGAGAACAATCATGGGAGAAAGAAGGGCTGCTTATGCACAGGGAGACAGCTCAGGGGGCAGGAGTGCATGGAGGGATGGACACTGGGAAGAGGTAACTATGGTGGGTGGGAGGGGAGCTGTTGCATTGTGGTAAACTGTGGTCAAAGTTATGAGACAAAGTATATGTGAACCGCTATATGGAAAGTGAATTTGCTCTGTAAACCTTCACTCAAATCACAATTAAAAATAAAATAAATAACACTTGGATACATATTATCCTTTATTAAAAATAGAACTTTGAGAGAACTAAACATGTATTATGGAGAATAACATTTAGTTATATATACATATTGAAGTAATATTAAAATTAAATTGCATTCCCTGAGCACCTATAAGCCAAGAGTAAGCAAATGTGAGCTGAGGCAGAACTTTAGGGCTAAAGCAGTTAGCAATCCTGTCCAGGAAGTAATTAACATTCTGATAAAAGACCTGAGAAATTTCCTGATAGACCTTAATGAGATCAAGAACTTCTTCTGAAGAATTGAAGTTACCAACCCAGGTGACCTACGGGCCTAGTCTTTTTTTTTTTTTAATTTTCATTGTGATTTGGGTAAAAGTCTACAGAACAAGTTCATTTTCCATACAGCAGTTCGAACACATTTTGTTTCATGGCATTGACTGCGGTTCCCCACGGTGTAACAGCTCTCTTCCACTCCCTCCCTGTGGCCACTTCTTCCCTGTGTCCTTTCCTGTGCATTCCTGCCTCCCTCTCAAGCCATCTCCCTGTGCAAACACTGCCCTTCTGTTTTCCCCTGATTGATCTTCTAAGGAGTGTTATCTACCTGGTGTATATGTTCCCCCTATATGCCTGTCTTTTGTTTTAGCCTCATCATTTTTAAGCTGGACTTCTTTCTACCCTCTATAAATGCCTCTACCAAGAGAGAAATATTTCAGTTGGTTTGCTTAAGAACTCTACCCTTATAGCAAACTTGATACAAAATGCTGACACATGCTTGCTGCCAATTAGCCTTAGAACTTGTTACATAAAACCACATAGGGGAGGCCAAGATATCTGTGGGCACCTAAGACAATCACATCCACATCTTCATCCCTGCTCCTGGGCCATAGATAAAGTAGGAATGATTCCCTACAGTGTGCATGGGGTCAACAAAAACAATGATATACAAGACAAGCCTCATCTCCTTGCTGGGCATGTTTCTAAAATGCCAAGGAGCCTAGGTGGGTCAAGCAGTTTGTGACAGTCTGCTAACCTAAAGGCTGGCAGTTCAAACCCACCCAGTGGATCTGCGGAAGAAAGGCCCGGCAAGCTGCTTCTGTAAAGATGACAGCCAAAAAAACCCTATGGGGCAGTTGTATTCTATAACACATGGGGTTGCCATGAGTTGGAATCATTTCAATAGCAACAGCCCCCTAAAGCAGGGCACTGTTACAGTCACAGCCCTGGGTTTCAGTACGGCATTTGACAGATGTCTCAGGATGTCCTGTGGACAGGATGGTGAAGCGAGAAGTGGGTGGTATTTCAGGGGTGGGCTCAGCGCCATGCAAGCCTCCACCCTACCCAGAAAATGCCTTCAAGGGGATCGGTGTCGTTATGAGGTCAGAGGGCACAACTTGGGAATTTTTTTACACTGACTTCAGCATAGACATAAATGAGGTGTGTATCAAGTGTGTGAATGACGTGAAAGTAACTGATATTCTGGATGTCAGCAGACATCCCCAAATAGCCCAACAAGCTGAAATGATGAAATTTAACAACACAAAAGTGAAGTCTTGCTCTCAGGTTAAATATATCAACTTTGTAAGTACAGGACGGCAACAGCAGCAGGTGTGTCTGTGTGTGGGAAAAAAGGTTCAAGAGCATTAGCTGACAGCAGGTGCCTTATGAACCACTGGGAGGTATAGCTGCCAAATGGTTCCTGGGCACAATGCCTAGAACGAGAAAGGTGAGAGTTCTCCTCCACCCTGTCCTCAGCCAACAGAGCTGGGAGAACTATGTTGCAGTTCCAGACACAGAGATAAAACGACAGCTCTTACGGGGAGGGGCTGGATGCCACATAACCTAAGGAACTGTGCACAGCCTGGAGACATATAGCCAGAAGGAGAGACACTGTGGGGAGTCATGACATCTGTCTGCAAGTGTGGAAAGGATGGCAGGCCCTGGCAAAGAGGCTCAGGCTGTTCTTTTTTAGCTCTGAGGACAGAACAATGGGTGGATGTTAAAGGGTGACCCACTGCTGCTCAATGATAGGAAGAACTTTCCAGAAGTTCTCATTTTCCTCAATTGGAATGCATGAACCTGTGAGTTGAGGGCCACTGAAGGGGTTCAAAGGGAAACTAGACATCAGGTTAGGGTCAAAAGAGGATTTTTATTCATCAGAGGAAGCAAAGCTGGACCAGATCTTATAGTCCCCTTCCAACATCAGATAAACATATACATCTCACGGAGTCTCTGGGAGGTACAAACGATTACTGTGCCCAGCTGCTAACCAAAAGGTTGGAGGTTTGAGTGCCCAGAGGTACTTCAGAAGACTAGCCTGGCAATCTACTTCTCAAAAATCATTGACTGAAAACCCTATGTAGCATTTTTCTACTCTGACACACATTGAGTTGACATGGGTTGGAACTGACTGGTTATACATCTTATAGGCTGAATTTTTAAAATGTAGCAATAGATGATGGCTATGCAGGCAATCCTTATCTCCCTGATCAGAGAAAGGCTCTGTTTGGGGCAGGATCTGCTAGCATGATTGGTTTTGACCTTTAAATTCAGACACCATAGGAGTTTTATTCACAGTTTTGACCCTACTTCCTGTTGAGGCAGAGCAGCAGGCTTGGCCACCTCACTGCCATGGTTAAAGCCCGAACTTTCCTTTGGTTATAGTTTCCCAACAGGGCATTTCTTAAAGTAACATCTGGTCTAGCATTTCCAGCTCTGCCCCAGGGGTCATGTCTCCTCCCGCCCATCCGGCAGGAGGCGGAAATGCGTACCAAGCAGGAAGCCTACACAAAGGCTGGCACCCACCTTCTCTTTCTGTTTGCGCTCGGTTCTGTCTGGATGGAGGTCTCAGACTGTTTATAGTCTGGCACAGAGACCAGAAACCAAAAAAAAAAACCCAAACTCACTGCCATCGAGTCAGATCCAACTCATAGCGACCCTCCTTGAATTTCCGAGGCAGTATCACTACGAAAGTAGATTGCCCAACCTTCCTTCCAAGGAGTGGCTGGTGGGTTTGAACTGCCAGCCTTCTGGTTAGCAGTCAGATGCCTTAGGCATTATGCCACCAGAACTCCCGCAGAGACCAGAAATGAACCCCAAGTATCGGAAAGCAGCAAACTGCAGTTTTGTGGATGCTTCTTGTTGTTGTGTGCTATGGAGTCAATTTCCAACTCATAGTGACCCTACAGAACAGAGCAGAAATGCCTCACTTGGGTTTCCTAGGCTGAAATCTTTCTGGGAGCAGATCACCGGGCCTTTCTCCCTTAGAGCAGATGGGTGAATATGAACCATTAACCTTTCAGTTAGTAGCCTTGTGCTTAACCATTATGCCACCATGGCTCTTCTGTGGATCCTTTTGTAAAGCTCTCAGTACCTCAGAGAGGGTGAGAGGCCATCACGCCTGGTGGTTCTCAAACATTTTCTGCATATTAGAATCCCCTGTAGAGCTTTTAAAATTTCTAATGCCTAAGCCACACCCCAGACCAATTACAACAGATTTTCAGGCAGGTGGGCCTCCATATTTGTTACAAATAGGTGATTCCCCTGCGCAGCCACATTTGAGAACCAGGGATCTAGCCAGAGGCTTCTAAGTTTGAAAGTGCAAACACACCACCTGGGGATCTTGCTAAAATGCATACTCTGATTCAGTGGGTTTAGGGTAGGGCCTGGGGTTCTGCATTTCTAACAAACTCCCAGGTGATGCTGATGCTGCTGTCCATGAGCCGATCTCTGATAAGCAAGGCTAGCAAACTGACTAATAAATTCAGGCTTACTAACCAGGAAAACCAAACCCGTTGCCATTAAGTCGATTCTGACTCCTGGTGACCCCAAGCATGACAGTGTAGAACTGCTCCATAGGCTTTTCTTGGTTGTGAAGCAGACCACCAGGTCTTTCTTCCATGACACTGCTTGGTGGGTTGGAACTGCCACCTTTTAGGTTAATAAAAAAAACTCACTGCCATCGAGCCTACTGCGACTCATCACGACCCCCATTGGGTTTCCGAGGCTGTAGATCTTTACATAAGTAGACTGCCCCTCTTCCTTCCACAGAGAAGCTGTTGGGTTTGAACCTCTGACCTTCTGGTTAGCTGAATGCAAACTGCTTGTGGCACCTGGGGACCTTGACCAACTAGCTGGGCTGATTTTCTAGAGGGGTTGTAGACACCTAGGGTTACCAATCAATGACCGAGAGTTAAAGAACAGTTTGCTGTGTTCTAGGGGACCAGCTCAAGTTACACCAAGGAGCATTTCTTGCCTTTTGGGCTGCAGCCATCACTTGCTGTTCATAGATGTTGAGGTTCTGGTTCATTAGCTCCAAGGCCTGCTTTCGGGTGGTGAGAGATAGAGGGTCTGGGCTCAAGATGGACTGGTGCTCGTACACAGCAGCTACGTAATATTCAGCCACGTGACGTTCAGCCACGCGATACTTCCCGGCGTGGACTCCCAGGGCAACCACGTAACAGCCATAGAGGAAAAGAGCAAGCTTACTGCTGGCTCCAGACATGATGCAGACCATAAACCTAGAATGTAATGGGACAAGGGAAAAACAGCTGAATAAAGAATCCTGCCAAGGATTTAACTTCTGCAGCTGTGATTTATTAATCCTAGCAATTAAACTCACCCGCAGTGATACTGCAGCTCAAAGAGTTTGTTTCATGTTCCTAATAAAAGGGTATGTGTTTCTCTCCAAACACGTAGTAAGCTACGTTTAAAATGGCTCAGCGTGTTAATAATCTGGTTTTAGAACATTTCCCAAACAGATCCAAAATTTTCTGTGATTTTCCTACCCAGTGTTCAGCAAGACTGCAGTGTGTCACTACTCGCTTTTCTAGGGGTTGTTGTTGTTGTTGTTGTTGTTATGTGCCGTCAAGTCGGCCCCGACTCCTAGCGACCCCTCCTTGGGTTTCCGAGGCAGTTATCACTACGGAAGTAGGATTGCCCAACCTTCCTTTCTAGGGGTACATCTGTTTAAAGCAGTAAGAATTACTCCAGTTATGTTATACAGTTCTGTGACATCGTCCAGACTCTGCCCCCTGCCGCTATACACACAATATACTACAGGTCAGCCATCTACCAGCTACAATGGTTGTGATCCCAAGAATACAGCCATAAACACCTGATGGATTCAAATTCTCCCCGCATTTCTGTAGTTAGTAATGAATATAAAGCCTAAGTCTCCTTTCACTCAGCACGGCATTCTTTATTCAGGGCAGAGGAACTGCTGACTTCTGCTGATATGCCAAATAGCTACTCTCTGCTGTGGACAGGCACAAAGAAGTGCCCTCATCAAAGCACAGCTTTTGTTTTAGTTCCTTGAACTCGAGAACCATCATTTCGCACGGTCATTTTCACAACCTTGGTCATTCCAAAGCTCTTGCTCAAAAGCATAATCCTTTGGCAGGGATAAAAATGCAGTTTTCTAGAATGTAAGTTAGAAGGTTCTTCTAGAATGTAGACTAGAAATTTCTAGAAGGTAAACTCATCTTCATAGCTCCAATCCTGAGACATTAGAAGTAAATTATAAATGTCATTACGCTGGCACTTCTGTGTGTCTCCCTCCCAAAATAGGAATCTTTGTTTCTAATAGATGTTACTCAGTGTTTGAGAATGAACAGCAATTCCGCCTTGAAGATCAGCCTGGCTCCCAGCTGAAATGCCCCTCCCCAGCACACAGATGTGCCAAGTTTGGTGCATTCAGGCCAGGCTACTTGCTCTGTGAATGTGTGCCGGGGCTGACCAGCCGCCTGGGGAATCAGATTAAACATCAAGATAACAAAGACAAATTGAGGAATCATACTGCTGTCCTTTGAAAAGAAAGTTTACACACTGTCCAAGTCCCAATTCATCACTCCTGTGTTCTCATTTCAAAAGTAAACTCCCCCAGCCTGCAAATTTCTTATTTTTCTGTCGAAAGTTCTAGAAAGTCTTTTTATACTTATTTTCAGCCACAGAATAAGGGCTAGGGATACCATTCCGAATCTGTGCAAAAGTAAAAACTTCTCAGGAGAAGCACTCTCTCACACCAAGCTGGGCCCCATCTCAAACTGTTACTTCTCTCCTCAGGGAATAAAGGTACCGCCCAATACCAAACCGGGATTTGTTGCCATTCATCTGGGACACTGTAAACAATGTTTTAGATAAGAACAAGGGGCCTTTCAGTGAGCAGTCATGAGTTTTTGAGTAGAAACAAAAGTATAATTGATAAGTCTTCTTATCTGAATTTTGCCTCTGAAGACAAGCAAGGAATAATTTAAAATGTCTTGAAAATTTATTTTCCACTAAGTTTCTGCTTTCATAATGATAATGGGGAGCTGCTTGAGGGGAGAGCTTTCATCGCCAACGTCATATGCACACTATTTCTAAAGTATAAGGCAATGGCCTCACTAATGGGTGGGGAAACTGAGGCTGGAGCCAATCAACAAGTCTCCAGGGGTGGCAGGTGAAGAGTTCCTGGGGTGGAGGGTGGCTGGCACTTACACTACTTCCCCTTTTCAACAGAGAGCTGTCTGTATACCACAGATTTGGGGACACAGAACACTTGTTTAACTCTAAGGGGCTTGCAATCCAGCAAAACATGGAAACTGCAGAACCAGCAAGATACCACATTTTTTCCTTTTTTGAAAAAATAAAATTTATATTATTTACAGAAGGAGCCTGGTGGGAGAGCTGTAAGTGATCATTTGTGTATGAATAAAGGTAGGCTGATAATTAGAGGTTATGCAGATTCAACCAGGTAGTCATGCTTGAAAGCACACAAGCTTAATTAAGTAGCGGGGAATGAGTAATTACAATAAAAATAGGTACATTTGCCTTCCCCAAATAGTGACGATAATAGGAGAAGTTTTAAACAAATTCGCAAATGCTAGTTTTCCTTCTTTTACTGACATCACACACACTACCTCGGGAAAGACCAGACAGGGCCCTCGGAGGGGACTTGGAAAGGCCAGCACCCAACAGAAGGGCACACTCAGCCTTAACCAAGGCATGGCCCCAGTGATTACTGGGAGCTGACTTGTCATCTTAAGTGCAGGTGGATGGGGAAAGGGGAACTAGGAGTAAGGGGGCTCTGGACGCCATGACATTCTTGGAAATATAGCAACTGATGATCTTTAGAGCTGGCCAGGTCCTGGGCCCATAGAGGAAATGGTGACTAGAGGTGTGTGTGCCCCACCTGAAAGGACAGCAGTACATTCTCTTCCACTGGAGGGTGCCTGACACAGGAGGCCAAACTGCATGAGTGTGTGCTTCTAGCCACTGTGCACATGCTCGGCCTTGTCTACTCCTCACCACGACCCTCTGAGAGGGAGCACCAGACCCTTTAACAGAGAATGAACCTGAGGTCCATAGACCTCAGACAGAGCCAGGACAACGCTCACCTCCGACATCCGTGCAATACATGACTGTGAGCCAGACACAAATGCAGGTGTCAGGGTCACCAGTGCACAAGACAGCTTCCCTCGTGGGGCTCACACTCTGGATGTATGGAGAGCATCTGACACAGTTGATCACACCCTCATCCTTAAAACACGTTCTTCACTTGATTTCCCAGGTGCTTTGGTTTTCTTCCTACGTCAACAACCATTCCTCAGTCTCCTTTGCTGCCTCCTCCTTGTCTCCCTGATTTCTATAAACACTGGAGCCCCCAGGTTCAGTCCTTGGACCTCTCCTTCTCCCTCTCCCCTCCTCACCGCACACTCCCTTTCTGGGTGATTCAGCCAGTTTTCTGGCACTAAATGCCTTCCCTGTGCCAATGGCTCCCATGTTTGTATCTCTAGCTTGGACTTAACCTCCTCAACTCCAGACTCTGATACCCAGCTGCCTCCCCAGCATGTCCACCTAGTCGTCCACTTAACATATCCCCGAATTTCCTCCTGCTGCCTTGTGCATCTCAGAAAATGGCAGCTCCATCTCCCAGTTGCTCCAGCCACAAAGCTTGGGACCATCTTTGACTCACCTCTTCTCTTATACCACACATCCACTCCATTAGCAAATGCTGGTGGCTCTACCTTTACAGTATAACCAGAATCTATCGCCCACCACCTCACCACTTCCACCCGGCCCCAAGCCACCAACATCTCTCCTCTGAATGACAGCACTGGCCTCCAACATCTCCCTGAGTTGGCCCTTGTCCTCTTACTTTCTAGTCTCATTAGAGCAGTCAGAGATCCAGTTAAAGTGGGAGTTAGATCATGGCACTCCAGCACTCAAAATTTCCCAGTGACACCCCCACACACACACTTCACACAGAGTAAAAGCCAAACTTCTTAAAATATGCCAGGGGGAATAATCAGTAGACTGAACATAATTGATGGGGTTAGGAAAGAATTGTGGGAGTGACATCTCTGAGCAAGCATCCTTGATCTTTTAACTGCCCTACAGAAGCCTCTGCGTCACATCTCATAATGAAAAATGTTCCCCCGACACTCATCATGAAGGGCTTTTTCTGATCTATGAGAAAAAGAAACCTAAGTCTAAATTACATAGAAACCGATTTGGAGGAAATTTGGTAACATGTCAACCACTGGATATTTTTACATACAAGGAACTTTTTTTCTTGGCTTGCTGAAAGATTCATCTTGCTAATTAGCTGTGTTTTCTTCCTAGCTATGTGACTACAATAGGATCTTTTGCTAAACAATCAAACAAAACCCCACACAAGGATTATTCTTAATAAGATAATTTCAGAGGCAGGAATATATGTACATTTTTAAATTTATACATAGACCTACTGTCCTTTTTAAATAAAAGATCTTGTCATTCTTGTCAGGGAAAGGAGGCAGGAAAAGTCAGCAGAGGCAATGTCTCATCCTGTGGAGTGAAGCCCGAGGGACTTGCTAAGTCATTAGGAATCTGCACTATGTATGTTTCTATATACAGAATGCCAGGAAAACACTGGAAAGTTCCAAATAGTTTAAAACTACTCTCATGAATTTTGTGATTTCCAAGTCTAAATGCTTTTACACGGGGAGGAGAAATAAGGTACCATGTCCACCTAATTTACATAACCAGAATTTAAAGAAGGCCCCAAAGGGACTTTTTATTTCCCAGAAAGTCTTATAATTGCCTCTTGTTTTCTGGTTCTCCCATCTGATTATGCCAGTCATGAGCTATTCCCTGCCTGGCCCCTGAGATAAGAAGCTTCACTGTGGTTTTAGCTTGGTCAGCTTTGTTCAAACCCATCTACTGACAAGATATTTGATGTCTCAGTTGAAAATGTCAAGTGTAAACACTTTTGAGTGGCAACTGATTATGACGTCAAAATTCAAGGAATACTGAATATATTACCAAGTTAATAAGTTCTTTTGAGTTGAACTGGTAAGCTGTGATTTCATTTTTCAAAAATTCCAGCTATTATCTTCAAAAAAGAATAACACAGACGTATAACTTTGCACCATGCCTTTGATTAAGGCTGATCTCTGCTCCACTGATTAGAATAACTTATTGTAGGAAATTAAATAAGCAATCAAAAGATCTTGACACTTTAACCTGAATGCTGTTGTTGTTAGCTACATCAGAATTGGCCCTTGACTCACCAGGACCCTGAGCACAACCAGATCTGACAGTTGTGACCCACGGGGTTTTCACTGGCTGATTTTCAGAAGTAGATCACCAGGCCTTTTCCCCTAGCCTCTCAGTCTAGAAGCTCTGCTGAACTGTGTTTGTTGTTGTGTGCTGTGGAGTCGCACCGACTCACATAGACCCCTCCTTAGGTTTCCGAGGCAGTATCACTACGGAAGTAGATTGCCCTACCTTCCTTCCAAGGAGTGGCTGGTGGGTTTAAACTGCCAGCCTTCTGGTTAGCAGTCAAGTGCTTTAGGCACTATGCTACCCGAGCTTTGAACTGTGTTTAGCATCATACCAATACCAAGCTTCCACTGAAAGACAAGTGGTGGTTGTGCTAAGGGCTTTGGCCAGGAATCAGACCTGAGGCTTCCGCGTGGAAGGTGAGAATTCTACCACTTGAACCATCAAGTCATTATCTTCAAAATTTAAACAAAACTGCTCCCTAAATGTCTACACATTTAATGAAAGAAGTCTTTTCCCCTACCCCCACCCCGCATGTGGTATTTGGATAAGAGACAGTCTATTTCACGTTCTATGGGCAACTTTGACAGGTTTTACACTGCCACCTTGTGGAGAATTTGAATATCTTTAACCCAAGTTGTTAATGTGCCCTCGAGTTGGACCCGACTCATAGCGAACCCTCCTTGGGTTTCCGAGGTGGTATTACTACAAAAGTAGATTGCCCAACCTTCCTTCTGAGGCGTGGCTGGTGGGTTTGAACCGCCAGCCTTCTGGTTAGCAGTCAAGTGCCTTGTTGTTGTTGTTGTTATGTGCCGTCTAGTCAGCCCTGACTCATAGCGACCCCTCCTTGGGTTTCCAAGGCAGTATCCCTACGGAAGTAGGATTGCCCAACCTTCCTTCCGAGGAGTGGCTGGTGGGTTTGAACCGCCAGCCTTCTGGTTAGCAGTCAAGTGCCTTAGGCACTATGCTACCAAAGCTCCCATTAACCCAAGTAGGTATTTGCAATAAAGTGCAACAGAAGAGCAATTCTTAGTACAATCACTTCCCTCTCCTTTTCATTTCTAAGGAACTCTGGTGGTGTAGTGGCTAAGGCATTTGAGTGATAACCAAATGGTCAATGGTTCAAATCCAATAGCTGTTCTGCAGAAGAAGGATGGGGCAGTCTGCTTCTGTAAAGATTTACAGCCTTGAAAACCCAACGAAGGCCACTATGAATTAGAATCAACTTGATGGCAGTTGAGTTTGATTTTTTTTTTTTCATTTCTAACATTTTAACTATCTCCTTCACAGTGAAAAAAAAAATCAGAAAACATTGGATTTTACAAGTTTTGCATTTCATGAAAGCTGTATTTTATTTGTCACGCTTCCACAACCTACTGCATCTCTTATATTCACAAGTTCTAAATTGGTTGCTATTTCCTACCTTACAGTTGTATACTCCATAGGATGTGACTGGCTGTACAAAGTGAGACAGCAATCCATACTGCCGCATTCAGAACTTTGCATGGGGAAATCTGGCTGGCAAAGGCTCCAAGGACAAATTTTATACCTATGCCACATTGTATTTTGCATATAACATATAAACATTTCAAACCATTTCTATTGTTTCATTTTATCTTCCTAACAGCCACATGGGAGCTCTGGCAGCACTTGACTGCTAATCAGAAGGCTGGCCACTCCTCGGAGTGGCAAACCCACCAGCCACTCCTCTGAAGGCAGATGGGGCAATCTACTTCGGTAGTGATACTGCCTTGGAAACCCAAGGAGGGGTCACTATGAGTCGGGTCCGACTCGAAGGCACATAACAACAACAACAACAGCCACATAACCAGTGGCAGCAGACAGTAAAATTCTACTTACGATGAGGAAAAAGTCCTGGAGTAGTTAGTGGTGAGAATGAAACTAGAAACCATGGCTCCTGGCTCCTGGTCTACTTTTCCTAGCACTATGATAGAATGAGGTTGTTATTAATTTTCCCTTGTTTAAAGAAAGTTTGTGATTTTCAAAGAATAAAACAAGGGTGACATGTCAGACTATATAATCTGAAAAATCTTCTAAATATTCTGCAAAAATGTAACAATGTCTACTCAGATGCACAGCTATACTTGCAGATACATCTATGGGGGCCAAAAATGAATCTCTGAAGAGCTAAGTCTTAAATTATTGTCCAAAGACCTTGAGTAGGCAGTAAGGCCAAGACAGAGGAAAGGCTTCTCCCACTTTTGGTCAGTCCTCCAGAGAGAAATGGTGGGGCCACTTCCAGCTACTCTGCTCTTCCGGAATACTTACGGTTTCCAGCTGGGTTTTACCCTCCTGATTCTCTAAGGGCCTTCATAAAATTTTCAGAAATGAGGCTCAATAGGCCAGCAAAAGATAGTTTTTAAGGCTTTTTAGGCCAACAAAAGATAGTTTTTAAGGCTTTTTTTTCCCCTTCATTTATTTGTTAGACTACCTCAAATTGAAGTCATCAGAACAACTGCCTTCTAGGTAATGAGTACCTGAAGGCTGGAAACACAGATGAAATGTAACCAGTGTGTGGAAAATATGATGTACTAGAACCACATGTCAGATTTTTCAGGCTCTTTATGATTATTAAGTGTATGGTGGATGCAATATCACTAAGAGTATGGTAGACGCAACATCACTGGTGTCTGGTGGATGCAATATTACTAAGTGTATGGTAGATGTGGTATCACTAAGTATATGGTAGACACACTATTACCCCAAGTCCTGAGCACCTTTGTGTTCTTATCTGCTGGTGCTCAGGAGTTAAAAACCAGGTAACAGAACCAATGTGATGGTGAGGATGTAGAGAGCGAAGAACAATAGAATTGGCAATAGAGTCAAGGAGCAAATCAAAACAATAATCCTTAACAGGGCAGTCTGTTAAAATTGAGTCTAAATGAAGTAGAAGCGTGAAAGAATAAGACAAGCTAAAGTAAAACACAACACTAAAGAAAACACTTCAAAGGCCACCCTGTTCTGTGGAAAGAATAGAAAGCATATACTTGGGAGTAACAAAGTCAAGGTCACTAGAGGGAGACAGCAAAATGCAAGCAAATGAGCCCAAGGACTGTCATTTTCCAAGTACCTGTGGAAGATGCTAGTGACACAAGCATGGTGAAACAAACGGGTCAGTCCAGGTATACTGCAGGTATTCAGTTAGAGGACGGCACTTGAGTAGGAATGGTAGCAACCTTTCCAGTCCTATTCAGAAATGTGGCCTATTCATAAACTTCTCACCCTGGCATGGTAGATGTGTGAAGAAATGGTCAGTAACCACAGCTCTGTCTCCTCTTGGACATACTGTCTATTTTTGTTTTTCTTCTGCTTTGGTTAGATCAGCAATTACCTGTGTGCCTTTCTCCTCTGGCAGAGGTTTGAGCTCAGCCAAGTCCTCCATAGCTGTATCCAGGTTACTACAAGTCCTACTGTCCCATGCCATCCAGATCCTGTGGAAGAAGCAATCTGCCTGGCTCTTACATCCTGTGGTTTTGCCTGGTACGAGACCCAAGTTCTCCAGATCCGAGGTTCTAGGGGTGGCAGGAGTGTGGGGTTGGGTATGAGAGGTTTCAGTTTCTTTCATGATAGATGTTGGTACTACATTGCTTAGCACTGAAAGCAAAGCAGAAGGGGACATTCTAGCTCCTTTTTGGGGACAAGTTGCTCCTAAATTAGAAGGGGCTTGATATGCAGAGCAGGAATTTAACCCAAATCTGTTGTGTCAAAAGCCCACACTCTTTTTCTCCCACCACACTCAAACCGATGAGATGAAAAGACTGCTTAAGTACATCGAGGTGACTGAATAACAATTATATAATAAAATACCTTAGGCCATATACAAGAATAAACTCAAAATCAGGAGTCAGGAAACTAGCATATATTAAAATTGGGTATATTTGATTAAGCTCTGGTAGCATAGTGCCTAAGGCACTTGACTGCTAACCAGAAGGCTGGCAGTTCAACCCCACCAGCCACTCCTCAGAAGGATGGTTGGGCAATCTACTTCCGTAGTGATACCGCCTAGGAAACCCAAGGAGGGGTCACTAT